TGATTGCTTTGATTCTGGATCATACCCGTAGCACCAAGACTCATCACCAGTCACAATTCTTTTAAGAAATTCTGGATCGTTCTGCACTTCACTCTTCAAGTCGCGGCAAACATTCACGCGGTTTTCTCTTTGGTCATCTCCGAGCAAGCGAGGAACAAATTTTGCAGACACCCGTCTCATGTGCAAACCTTCGGTTAAAATTCGCTGGACCGTGCTCCATGAGATGTTCGTTTCCTCAGAAAGTTGGTCAATGGTCTTTCGACGATCTTCATCAATTGCACGTTTGATTTTGGCAATGTTTTCGTCATTTCTTCCTGTCGAAGGACGCCCGGGGCGTGGCATGTCTTCTGTTGACATGTTGCCAGATTTGAAACGGGAAAACCACTCGTAGACCTGTGATTTCCCCAAAGCATCATCATTAAAGGCTTGCCGAAGCATCCCAACAGTCTCGGCTGCAGTTTTCCCTAACAGAAAGCAAAATTTCACGCACACTCTTTGTTCCTTCTGGTCGGCCATCTCACTAATCGCCAAAGGGTTGAAACAGGAACGCACACAACAGAGCACCACAGACAAACCACTTAACTCAGACTGACGCCAGCTCACTAACAGTCGCAGGAGACCCCCAGCTAACACCACCTAGCAGCACAACTCGTAACTACAAAGCATGCGCGCGCAACAGGTTGGTTCCGGTTATTTTTGGGTCCCCCTTCGTATTAGTTTAAACTTTATTTGAATTATGTTATATCGTATTTCTTTCCCAGGAATTAATGTTCCAGATCATTTATGAAGAACTTAAGAATCATACGGGTTAAAATAAAAATAATATTTGCTTTAAGTTGTGGATATGATCAGGCTTTATTAAGTTGAAATACTCAGTTGGCCTAGTGAAATAGCTGTTACTATGAAGTCAGACTCATTTTGTGATGCTGATGACTAACTATTGTTCAGTATTATGTATATATGATGCAATGGTTTCTCCTTGTGCAAGAACTTCTGAGCATACAGTTTTAATGTTTACAGGCAAGTCTGAACAGAATATTCCAATGCCAACCACAAAACTTGTCTCCGCCCCCAAGTTCATTGTGAAGAATGAGCTTAATAAAGGGCAACAAAGCAGGAGCTCTCTTAGACTGGTCCAGCCACCCTTTTAAGGTGACTGAAGAAGGTAATTAATTGGGTCAGATCTGTAAGTAGGAGAGTTTAACAATTTTACGCACGTAGGCCTGCCAGCAAAATTAGCTTTGTTTATCAGGCTATGAAAGGAAGTGCAGAGGATATCTATTTGCATGATGGTGGTTCCAGTACAGAGTGAAAGATAAATTAAAATTGTATAGGTCTCTTGTGTAAGGTGTTGGCAGGCCTGAGTGTATGGAACTGGGAAGTTCTGGAAGATTACTGCACTTAAAGGCAGAAGTACTATCTTTGATGAAATACAAAGCCATTGTTGGGAATATTTGTTCCTTGGAAAGACACACAGTGTCTTTGAGATCTTTATTATACAGATTTAATATACTATATGTTAAACTAGAAATGGTTAAGTCTTGCTTCTAGAATGCCAAGGCATGAAAAGAAAGAATAGTGACCTTTCCCAGACAATAGCCATTATTGTGGAGAGGGCATATGTATTGTAAGGTAGCAAAGTTGGATGTGGAAATTTCATTTGAACAATAGATTTGTCATAACCAGAAAAATTATTTTCAGCACCATCATAAGAAAGGATTAGCAGAGTGTGGTATACATAATTTATAGGCCGGAATGTTACGTTTGTACTTACTGTAATAGATAAAAACAATTTTTAATGTGTCTAAAACAATGTATGCTGTACGAAATTGGAAACTTAGTGTAAAAAATAGCATTACTGAGCTCAGAGATTCTAGTGCTTTCTCTTTATCATCGGTTTAAATGTATCTAAGTTATTTTTCATAGTGAGCTTTTCATCTGATTTCTTTTATTAACTGCTTAGCAGAAGCATAATTAAACCCATAAAATCAATGTACATGCTATTTGTGGTATGGAAATAAATTATAAATCAGATTTAAAAAGTGCTGAAAATTTGATGTGAATATTGAAAATTGTTGTACGAGTATTATTGAAATGAAATTTCTAGCATTCCACACTGTTTGGTAATATTCCAGTGTTACACATTAAAAACAAAAGTACCATAGGCACAAATCAGAATTTAATTCATTGGCATATTGTTTTTAATTTCAGTATCTTCACTGGAATTGCTGTTTATTTTTCAGAGTTTTTATTTCTGTGTATGCACCTGTGGTGTGAGTGGTGAGGTGGAGTCTTAGTGGACGAGAATGTTAAATTGTGTTCACTCAGAGAAAGTTGTTTTATTCCAGTTGCTGCAGACTAAAGTATATTGTGATGTTTCTTATTGTTCCCTTGTGACATATAAAAGAATAAATATCTGTATAAGTCAGAATTTTGATGTCTCATGGATTAATCTTTGCCAGGGAGCTTTTCTTTTTCTTAACAAAAAAATTGTATAACCTTACAAAGTAAGGATTAATTTCTCATGTGATGAGAATACATCCAGTGAAGATAGCTGTAATTTATTTTTACAGGCCATTGGGCTGTAATGCTATTGAAACGAATATGCCATATGCTAAATATATTCTGGCACCACCTCCATTTGTTGATTCTATAATAAGTTTGTCAAGATTTCTTAAAAGGTGCCAATGTCACACATAAATTATCATTATATAACAGTTATGAGATGAATTGAAGCCCTCTCCAAAATGTTGAGTGTTTCTCTGGATAAGTCTTGTAGTGATGCTGGCAGTACTAGTATACTTAGTAGAATAGCAGATGCAGTGTTATCATCTCACTGGTAAGTAGGGCCTTGATTTGTGTCCCAAAACAATTAAATCCTTTCAGGCATGAGTGAGTGAAAGTGACATTGCTGGTAGGCTAATGAGGACACTGATTAGTGCATAGGAATTTTAGAACAAAGAAGAGTTTTCAAAAGTAGAAATGTACATGATGGAGTATGAGAATAGTCTAATTGACCCTTCAGAAAAAAAAATGTAATTTTTACAGGGAGACTGAGTTTGTTTCACATCTTGAAATAATCAGTAACATAGCTCAGTACTTAAACTTCTGATTACCATGTGAGAGACTCTGTCAAATCCTAGATTTAGTTATATCAACTGAAGTTTTATATATCATCCTCCATAGTCTTGATTTAATACTGTGCTGAAGTTTGAAGTGTGTAAGTTTTCTGTGATGAGATTCCAGCCCAAAGTCAACCCCTCGACCTGGAGAAACAAGGTATTCCTCTTTTTTGGCCCCTCTCATTTGACCTGTTCAACTTAGGTGCTCCTATTGGTATAAGTCTTGACTTTATCGGGACTTCCATGCATCAGCACTACCACAGAGTAGGAATACATTTGGAGAGGGAAATTTATATTCCACTTTAATTCATGTCATTTTCCCTCACTGACTTCTGCCGAATTGCAGCTGAAATCTGTCCTCACACATTTCTTAATAGTGTCATAACCTCACATTATTCTGTAGTTATTGAGGGGGAACCTAAGTCTTTTTTATATCTAAAGTCGTAACATCTTTGATTGCTTTCAGCTTTCATAACAATCTGTAACAGAATTGTATGGAAGTACAGTTTTGTACACTTCTATAAAGGTCCACTGTCCCTTAAAACAGAGGTGCTCAGTTATATTTTTTAAATAGTTTTGTGCTCAAGTTAGTTGAAAATGTTTGGCTTCACTGTTTCACTGTTTTGTTGCAGCTTGTAGTTTTAATGGAAAAATATCTGTGTATTTGATGTTATGCTGTGGGCACTGAAATATTATGCAGTGTAATGGAACAGGTGAAATTTAAATATGGCCATGAAGTGCCAATTTTATGTACTATCATACAAGATAGAAGTTTCCCAGTTTATAAATTCAGAATATTTAAAGTCATATTTTATTATCACTTGGTACTGGGAAAACTAATAATTATAAATCCTTTTATGGTTTTGCATAAGCCAAGATATGATACTGAACAGTTCCCATGTTCTGACCTGTATACTGTTGCATACCCACCATGATATTAAAATTGGTTGCAAAGAGTTATGAACGGATGAATATTGCAGATGTTGAAAAATTAGTTTCCTGGCTCATGTGATTATGCTGATACTTCATCAGATTACATTTTCCTTTAAGATGGGTGTGGCTGCCCTGATAACATTACTAAGCTCACTGCCCATTAGGTGCTGTAATGGCTTGGGATTTAGAAGTCATCCAAATAATACTTATATAATTTGAGATCTTCACCCTTCTCTGCCCATTGTTGTCTTTCTGTAAATCTGTGTTAATGTGACCAGTGGTGGCATGAATATGACACAGGCTTCCCTTCTTATAAATTTTTCAGATTGGAGGAACCAAATAATCATAACATAGACTTATTTCTGAATGGTCTTTAATAACAGAAAGTATGAAGTATTACTAAATGTGCAAAACATGACCATGTCCTTTATTGGACTGTTCGATAGGGAACCACTTTTCATATGTAAAGGCTCAAAAGCTAATATACATAATGTAAAATTAAGACTGTAAGTTAATTTTAAGTTATGAATCTGTATATAATATAAGTAGCTATCAAGAACAGTGAACGTTCATTGCTGAATCATTTTTAAGCAGCATGTAAAAAGTCTATCAATAAAAGGAAGACAAGATTTAAGAGTTTTTTAAATTTCAAAATGAATTAACATAAACCAGTAAGAGTAAAGTTTCCATGTTTGTTCTTTTGTGGTAACAAATTATTTAATACTGCCTTGGCAGTACACTTGATATTAATATAAACATTGCTATTTTTTTATGGAAAACATTTTCTGTGATGTTCTTTGCACTTTGTGTATACCTGTAGATCAGTTGGGTAGTATGGGTAGTCAGTTAATGGCTTTAGAGGCAACTCAGCTGCACTGGTTCTTCATGCCTGTGGACATGTAAAATAAATTGCACAAAATTTGAAAAATTAATTTTGACTTAACCTGAATTTTCATAATGTCACTTCTTCCACACTGGTTATACATCCATAATTCCCTGTAGAATTATATAGGAGTGTTTTCTCCACACTAGGTATATTGGTTAACCCTCCATGATATGTTGGTTAAAACAGGATTCGTAGCACAAAGGTAAGGTTGGCATTAAGGCAGGAGAGGCACATCCTTCAACTTACCCCCCCCCCCAAATGGTTGCCATGCCATTCAGATTTTAAAATTCAGTATGAGGTATAGTAAAACCCCATTTCATTACATTTTACGTAGAAACAGTGGATTTGCTGTATTTCTCCCATTTTTCATTCAGATGGCATGGTGTAAGATGAACCATATACATGCTCTTAGTTGCATGCTTCTGTAGGTTGGCAAAAGCAGAAGTCAGTTCATTGCTTGTGGCTATGATGAGAATTATTAATACACTGCTCAAATTCACAGATATAATTATAGCATGATGTTACCTCTTACGTGACTTAGTGTGAAGAGTCAACTTACAAAATCTGTTTTGATTTTCTGGCATATTGTAGTTGTTCTTTCTTCTAATTATAACTGTCTGAAAATAAAAAAAGTGGCAATATATTACATACTCATATATTAATTCTGTAAGACAGCCTGATATAACTCATTCTAGTCACTTTAATAAAATAATTCTCTCCCAACATATTTCATCTGAAATTTTGCAGTCTTTGTCAGTATATAACTGGGCAAGTAAACTATTAATAATTTCACATCCCACTATTAAAATACAATTAAAAGAAATGTAGCTAAGATGTTCTTAAAAACAATGTATTGTATTTAATCCATAATGGTAGAGTAATGACTCATTGTAATTAGTAATATTATGCAAATTGACAAAACTTAATAAGGAATTAAATTTAATTACAGGATATGAGTTTCACATATAGATATCTCAGCTTGAATATTTTCAATTAAAATTTCATAGGAAATCCAAAAATCTTTAGTACTTATAACAAGTTTAGTAAACAGAGGCTGCTGAGGGAACTGTTGGCATACATTTAACCTCCAGTATGTCTGTAGCTGTATTGTTGGTAATCATTTTTGAACTTGAACTGTACACAGGACAACTGGTACGTGGCATACCTGATAAGTAACATATTCATGTCCAGTGCTGTAGCACTTATATAGCATCAATTCCTTCAAGATTTGTATTTATTCTGATAGTTTGTACTTTTTAAAAAGGTTGATAAAAGTATAATAGTTATTGAAGATATTACAGAGTATATATCCCTTCATAGATCTACAGTATGGTGGAATTCTTTTAGCTCACTTATGACAAGATATGTATGAGAAGGAGCTTCTCAAGAGAAAGCACTTAATTTGAAGCTAGTGCTTTGGGTAGCAAATTCGAATTAGTATGCTAACTTCTTGTCATCTTCCCCTATAATGTTAAATTCCTTAGTCCCATTTTCTAAAAATCATGTATTTAGTAAAAATAAAAAAGGGTATCCTATAGCTGTTGAAAGTGGGAAGAGGAAATACTTTCATCTAGTATTAAGAGGAAACTGGAATTATTATTGCATCCAGATATCTCATAGGAAAGAGTACATGAAGAAAATGACAGACGGAAAATTGCTTAAATTTGATGCTCAATGTGATGTTCCATAATTAATGGATAATAGGAAAACTCTTAGCCAGTAATTGTTCCTAAAGTAAAAAGTAAAGCTATCCCTTAAGAGGCTGTGAAGGCCTATAGGGTTGTGAGATGTTGAGGGTCCCACATTATCTAGACAGTCGGCTAAAAGATGGCGGTAAGGTTGTCAGCCTTACGTGCCTGCCACTCTTTACTCCCCAGGAAAAATTAATTAATCAATTCCTGGTAATTGTTCATGGAGCATTATTTTTAATTGCCTCAAGCACAGATAGAGTGGCTCAGTGTAAGATTAGCAGATGACTGGGATTTCTCTTTAACTTCTTTTTAATGGTGTGATAGCATATTTGGTATACTGACGAGGATACAAGCCGGACAACTAAGGATTCGGTGCTCTATTCCCAACATGGGCAAGAGATTTATCTCTTCTCCATAATGCCCAGACCAGCTCTGAGACCCACCCACCTGAGGCTGTTTCACTGGGAATATGAAGAATAGGATTTAGTGTCCAAGTCCACATATGCATTCAAAGAAATGTCATGTTTTATGATGTGGAAACAAGGCACAAATTAAGGTAGTTGGTTTGCTTAACTTGCCTTTAAAGTCTGTCGAAATTAACATAAAAATTATTTTCAAACATCAGTGTCTTCAGGATTAATTAATTAACCTCTGTTCATTGAATTTGGCACATTTTTAAAGGTGTCCCATAAGAAGTTTGTACACATTTATTTTCAGTTCAATTGTCTGTATAAAATGTCCTTTACTCTTCAAGGATTAGAATTTGTAGGAGACAGTTGATTGAGAACTGATAGTTATAGGAGATTTGTCTTATGCAAGGATGAAACTTGTCAAAGAGTATTCAAGGAGAAGATATCAGCATGAAGGAGTGTTCATGATTCTTCAGTTGCTTATGTTTACATAGTTATTTTCACATGATATGACTTATGGCAGGTACCACCTTGCCATTTGAACATTCAATCCAGCATTTAGTTTTGATGGTGTATGCCTCAGTATTTCATGTTTTACAAGTATCTGTGATGGCTATCATCAAATTATGTCCTCTTTTTAAATTCATAATCCTGTCTACCCCAGATAAAACTTCTCTAGATCCCATGTATATATGTACATAGTACCTCAAATGTTTGATTCCTTAAAGGTCTGTGACCATAGTTTATTCACTGTGCTGCAATTATAATTGCCACTGCCAATTGTCCATAGTATAACTAATATACACAGTGTTTTAACTGTTGGCCTGTCCCCCTCAAAGGAATAAAACATAAGTACTCAATTTATTGCATTCAGCTCCTGTCAGCAACAGTAATTTTGAATACAGAAAGTGAAAACATGTCAACATGTCTTTCATTAAAATAAGAAAAGCACAGACACTCATATATAACAAGCAGATAGAGAACCTATTTCAACTTTTATGACAGCGAAAAATAATTTTTAATATACTAGAGGAAAATAACAAGTCTGTTCTTATGTCAACAATCATTATTCAGCAATTTTCTAGTAATAGTTTTCTTAAGTTTCTTTATTTTTGTTCTCTAAAAAAAAGGTGGTAGTGCTATAAATAATTGCATACTGTCTGCCAGCATAATGACAGCAACATCTGATGATGAAAGAAGAGCAAATTCTGAAAGTGTCATGTACTGTGTATGAAATTACATCAGATACGATGTGATGAAGCCTCAGGTATTGTCCATTCAGGTAAGAAATCACACATTTGTACTCCTTCCTTGTATCTTAAATGAGCCTGCAGCCAAAATTATTTTTTAACATTCCTTTCAACCCTAGACAGTGTCCTGGCAACATCTTCAATCCTGGTACCAGAACAGTGTTGCAAACCTTTAGAACTACACACCACAGGCATTGAGAAATGTCCTGCATAATTTCAGAGTAAAATTTTCTTGTTCTTCTTGGATTTAGAAAGTGCAAAAAACAGTCATGGTGATATACCACATATACATTACCTGCTGTGTCTGCATTCTAATATCAACAGTCTTTCACTTCACCTGCTTGATTTGATCTCCATTGTCTCTTTTTATGTAATATCTTAAACATTAACCCCCCTCAGTTCAATTTTTGTTCTACTTAGTTGTAATCGTGTGCTATTTTCATTCATTCCTCCTTTCTTCCTTCCTTCCTTTATCTCTTTCTTCTTCTGTTTCTTTCCTTATTTCTTTGTAATTTCCTTCTTTGCTCATTTGATCTGTTCTCCTTTTATTCTTTACCTCATTCTCTTTCTTTTTACAATTCCTGCACCTTTCTTTTCTGCTATCATCCCTTCTCTCTTTTGCATCATCATGGGCATTAGCCAGGCATCTCACATCCCCAGATTTTGGACAGAATCAAAATTGGACTAAAGAAGAAAGTACCTATATGAAGTATTAATATCGAAACTAAAAATTATTTTTAAATTTCCTACACGTTGACTTTGATTAACCTAGCTATTAAAAAGAGACTACTGGTTCTGTTGCACCATTCTTATACTCTATTATCAATCTTAGAAGCCTCCACACACTCAGTGTGTTTGACCTGAGTACTCTGCCATGTAAAATTTAATGACTTTTTAGGCTTAATAGCTAACACACTTCCTTTGGATTTTGATAATTTTCATTCCTGTCATCAAGAATTTTATAATCATTGTAAATTTATACATTCCCAATTAAACTTCATTTTGTGTGTTTTGAGATAAGACTTTTCTCAGTGACACTTATATACTTCATTGGTATACATACTCTGCATCTTTAAGTTAGACAGTTTAAGATTCCACACATCATAAGAATCTTGTACTGAAGAAGATAGCACATCTTGTTGTTTAGGACAGTACATGGTTCGTATTCCAGCCACTGTCCTCCTTATGGTTTTCCTTAGTAAAATTCATTGAAATGGGCCACATTTATCCTTACTACCTTTTGATGCAATATAACTGCAGCTGATGTAGAATTATGCATGCACCAGTCAACCAGTAAT